AAGAAGCTTCAAAGCTTCGGTAGTTATCTTGCAAGAAGTTTCGAAGCACTACTTATAATATTCGTTTCAGCCCTATTACACACTGAGTACTGAATGACCCTTCTTGCTGAATGATGATGATGTAATCAGATTCACATACAAAAGGATCTTATTCAAGTGTTCATAAGGTAACAGTTTTAACAACAAAGTTATTCATGCCAATGCTTAATGTTTTACCAATTTCCTGTGTTTAAATTACTTTTTAATCATTTAAGTTAAATAAGGAATGCAAATAGTTTAATTACTTTGATTAAGACAAAAGAAAGTAAATAAATAAAATACACAGCTAGTGACAAAGCTTTCATTCAATATAGTGTATTTCAACATCTATAAAACCTGGTCACAAAAGTGAGACTTTTGTTTTCAAGAACCATATAAAATTTTATGAATAATGATACAGTACACACTATTCATAATAAAAAAAACATTAACATCAGAGCTTTGAAGAAAATTATTGGCCAAGATTACTGGAATACCCATTTGACAACCTAGCTATTGTTACATATAACAAGTTTAATATCTTTTTCTATGCAATTATGTCTCATTAAATTTGTTACTCCTCTGTGTAAGAATTATACACATTAATATTTATATATATACATACTGTATCATTAAATTTTTCACAGCGAATATGTCTCACCTGTCCAATACTGAGGGACGAAGGTTGACCAGGTTGCTGTTCTAGCCTCAGCTTCAGACACTCATGTACTACATCTAGTAAAACTCGAAGAAGAAACAGGAAGGGACGATGAAATGTGGGTAAGCACATTTGCTGATATGTTTCAGACCAAACTCCATACTTGGCTAGTTCTTCAAGATACTCTCTACTCCATCTCAGAAGGCTATCTGAACCTCGGGACAGAGGCGTTGGAGGCTCTGTTAGAACCTTTATAATGATCGTATGATAAAAAGCACTGAATAATAATAAAGGAAATAACACATAAAATATATATTGTTATATTCATGTAAGTCCTATAATGTCCAAAATTACACTCTATACATGTGTACATACTATAGTTTGACTGGTAAATTTCACATATTGAAGAGTGAATCACATTCATTATCTAAATGTACCTTAAAAATGAGTGATTAGTGGAATTTGCTTATCGGTTAATCACCAGGATCGGTAATTGATTATTCTCACAAGAGTCGAATCTTCCCATTTTCAGCTTTCTTTCTTTTTAAGACATTTTCAAGTTACCCTTCATTTAATTTGATAGACTTCTCCAGGTACAAAAATTTAGGAAGTTACTTTTTTAATATTAAAATGTTACACATGAACATATATCATATACACAAAGTAGTACAAAACCTGTAACAAGCTGAAAATATAATTAATACCATTCCAGGAGTTTCTTCCTACAAATTTTCACAAAACTACTCTACTAAAACTAAATCTTTGCAAAAATAATTTTCCTTACACTTCCTGTGGTAAAACTAGTAAAGATCGTTGACAAAGTTTGTGATAGATAATATACAATTCAGGAAAAAATTCATTCTGATCCTAGAAAGACAAAGACAGTACAAGGTTCTTTTACAATTTGTTATAAAAACTTGTGATGATACTAGATGACCTCTTTGTACATATTAAAATGATTCATAAGATGGAAATTGAGGAATTATGAGAAACATTAAAATCATGGAAATAAATAACATTTAATTACAGGTGTTTTGGAATGTTTTTCAAATTTCATCATCAGCATGAAAACCTATAAAATAACTTTATAAAAATCATAAGCTTTAAAGCAAGAAATTGTTGATACAGGTGATAAGTCTGGAAAGAACATATTAAAATGATTAATACAAAAACATTTTACAGTACAGGTTGGAGGAAAATGCAGAAACATGTGTGCTGAGAAATCAATAAATTAAACAACTTATACCTTATTGTACTAGGCAGTTGTTTTTTTTTGTATCTAGCTTAAGTTACTCATAACTGAATAGGGGAAGTCCTGTTAGTGTAAGTAGGATTAATATCTTAATGGTGTTTCACACTGTTAGACTGTTATCAGTCTCTGTCAGAGCAATTTCTGACAAACACAGTCAAATAAGCAAGTTATTCAGCAATCAACATTTTTTGAGCAAATAACAAATATAAACTTGCCATAAGTTTTTTTTAATAAACTCTTTTAGCACGGGCTCGGTCCCTGGGACCGACCTCATAACCATTTTGTGCTTGTTATAGTTTTCATGCTATAACTCTTAAATTAGTAAGGGAATGTTAACGAAATTTTTCAGATTATCAGTAAATATTACAATGCTTTCATACGCAAAATATCAAATTTTTTTATTAAGTCTTAAGGTTTGTAAAGCAAAGTTTTTCTCATGTCTTTTTTATTTATTTTTTGCATGTTGCCTTTCTATCATGCAAAGTAATATTCATTTTAAGATTAAAAACACTTTTATGCATCAGAAAATTTTGAAATTTCACATGTGAAATCTTTATAATGTCCAGATAGTTATTAAACACTTCTTAAGAAAAAATTTTATATTTTATCTGTTATTTTCAGTAATGAATTTCTGTATGGGTTTGGTAGATTTGACTGATCTCATAACCACCATAAAAAATTAGGAAACAAATAGAAATTATGCCTCTTTAATTCTAGAATGAACACAAATTATAACACGAAAACATAAGTGTTTAGACTAAATATCTAAACATTATACATTTAAATATAAATATTTATTATTTTTATTATATTTACCTTTCAGCCTTGCCTGGCTAACAATACAGTACTCACAATGATGTGGCACATGTGCATTCATATTACCGTATACAATAACATAAAACTGACCTTTAGTCTTTACAAAGTGACCTGTCTTGGCTGTGTTTTAGTAGACTAGTATTTTATAAAATACAGTCACGTTTCAATTATAATTATACATGTATATAGATTATTGCAATTTAGAAATAAGTTCTTAAACTTATTTTTCTTAAAACATAGAACAGTAAATAAAGAAGTAAAGCAAACAATTATTTCTTCTAGTTATGACCTTTGTACTCGGTTGTTGCTTGATGCAGGTTGCTAAGCTTTTAAAAAATGTGTACATGGAGGATATGAAACTAAAATATTTTT